CTAAAGTAACACCACACAATTTCCTAGATGAAGATCAGACTTCATCATCCAAACTCATTGGTTAATGTTAGTATTACTTCTGTTGGCTCAGCCATGTAGCATCTATCATTCAAAAAAAATTTTTTTTTACTTTATTTTTTTGGGGGGCGGGGAATTACGTCTTTATTTATTTTACTGGAGGGACTGGGGATTGAACCCAGGACCCTGTGCATGCTAAGCATGTGCTCTAACACTGAGCTATACCCTCCCCCTAGCATCTGTCATTTGGTGTGATGTAATACACGGCTCAGAACACCATCTATAATGTATTTTAGCCAAAAATATTTAACTTGACGCTATTGGGCATTTAGATTAAAAAAATTTTTTCAACCCACTATTTCCTATAAACTAATCTATAAACAAATAGCACAAGGAAGCAGCCAGACAGGTCCTTCTGCAGTCTTACCTGTACTGGTCTCTTCAGTAAATCAGTGTCATAAAAATAGAAGTTGTGCTAGATTCAAAGAGACTTAAGGAACAAGCAGTGAGATACAATGCCTGGTCTTGAATTGGATACCAGCTTCAACAAACCAAGTATAAAGGAAATTTTTTGGGTCAGGGCAATTTGAAAATAGTCTGGATGTTATGTATGAATTGAAATTTACTGAAGTGCAGAGGTGGACAATATTGATGAAAAAATCTGTTTGCCAAAAAGTCTACATAAATATATACACAGTAAAACATTGGAAATATATACACTAAGATGTTAGTAGTGGTGCTACCAGGTGATGGGAATGTGGGTTATTTGTTTAGTTTTTTGCTTGTCTCTCCTAATTTTCTGCAATGTACATGTCTTGCTTCTGTATTAATAGAAACTTACTTAAAAGTCTAAAATAATTTGTCCTAATCAGGTGGATTGTTTTAATATATTTTATAAGTTTTTTTTCTTGGTAAGGGTTTTATAATCTTTGGGATTCTCCTTTGAATTATCTTTAGATTCTACATACATCTCTTTTTATTTTTTTTTTATTATTTTTTAATTCAAGTGCCATCAGTTACAATGTGTCCATTTCTGGTATACAGCACAATGTCCCAGTCAGGCATATACATACATATGTTCATTTTCATATTCTTTTTCATTAAAGGTTATTACAAGACACTGAACAAAGTTCTCTGTGCTATACAGCAGAAACTTTTGCCTCTCTCTTTTCAAAATTTAATTTTTTATTATGGAAAATTGCAAATACATATAAAAGTAGGTAGAATAATA